ACTAACTTCGGATACTACTCGTGGAAGACCGAAGCGGTCACTGTTCAGTTTCTCGTGGTCGAGTTCATTTTCTCTGCAGTACGCTATTAACTTTATTTTCGTTTTTTCGTTTTTCTTCGAAAATTTATTCTAGATTTAAAAACTTTTCTGTTTTTCTATAAACCACTTTGCCAGACGCTGAACTGCATGCAAATCATTCATTACGTAGTTGCAACTGAAGAAATTGTTAGTTTTCAAGGTTTAAAAGATCTTTCTACACACTTACACACCTACACTACGTTTATACAGTGCAGTACAGTACATACATAGTACAAACATATTTGTATGTAACATCAATCAATCACTTAATCAATAAGTTGGTAAGTGCTATTTCCACAATGTTCCATAGAGCTCCTCAGTGAATTTTGCAAACAGATCCGCTCTGAACTTCGCAAGTGATGGAGAAGAAGTCAGAGAAGGAGGTAGATAGTTCCAGAGAAAATGGCCAGAAAAAGCAAACTCAGATTTAGCAAGAGAGTGTTTAAAACGATTTAATAAGTCAGAACATAAAGGCGATCGTAAACCAGGGCATTTAGGTTCAATAAGTACTTAGGAAATAATTTAGATTGAAACTTATACATTAATGTGCAAATTTTAAAGAGACAGTAAGCAACAAGGGTGTGGCATGTGCGAAACACAAAAAAAAACAATTTCCAAGTTACACAGCCAGAAAATAACATGATCACTTAGCAATAAAAACTCTGTGAAATATTTCTTCTGATTGTGTTTTAAATTCAATAAAATAAAATTTTATTTTTAAGATTTTTTTCTCGTTACAGTAAATTTGTTCAAGTGTAAACATTCGACTCTAAACAACTCGTGTAAAGAAAAAATTTGATAAAAATTAACTAACTTTTGATACGTGTAAGTTAATACCGCATTCAGATATATTAATGAACCTCAAACTTCTCCCAAATAACAAACAGCTTGCTCTGACGGTGAAGGCCCTTAACACGGAGCACTTGCAACAGATTGAGATTTACAAGACATCTCCAGTGCCGTATAAGATTGATGACGCCAGATGGCACACCATAAAGGGTTTGTTGCTTCTTGCTACCGGCAGTATTAGAAATTATGCCCCCAGTGTTGTGGTTCAAGTGTAGGGGTACTGATGTATTCACATGCCCTGTGTGTCGGTGTTGTTTGTACCTATAAGAATTATTTAAGAGATGTTACATTATTTGTATATAGTGAATGTTTTGTAATAAATACATAATGAATTGTAATAATAATAATAATAATACGTAATTGGTTGCAGTAAAAACTTGTAAGCTCCTGTAATGTGATAATACAAAAAATATTAGTTTTCAAGCAATGTGGGGCTCTATATTTATAATCTTTATAATCAAAGATATTAAAAAAGTTGAAGAAAATGTAAAAATAACAGATTCAAGTGCAATTCAAGTACAAATAAAAATTAAAACGATGACGATGATGACGATGATGACGGCGACTATAATAATTAAACACGCCAACGACAAAGTAAACTTTGGAGACGATAATGACGTCACGATAAAAACCGTCAGTGAACCAAAACAGAAGCCACTGGATCGTTCAGTTGGACAACTTGCGTGTCGAGAGATTAATCACCAATACAACGAACGTCGTCCTCTACCAACAGCCTGCCTTCATTGGAGGAAGACCGCGTTTGTTGTTCTTTTATTTTTCTTTATTTTTTCTTTTTGGAGTTTTAAATATTATTTTAATTTTCTGTTTTGTTTTGTTTCAATGTATTTTTTAAATTTTAAATTGGTAAATTTATAAAATAAGTCGTACATCAATCAAAATACATATATTATCAAACCTTAAATGAATACCACGGTCACCACACCCACACACACACACAAACACACACACAAACAAACACACACACAAACAAACACACACACACAAACACCCACCAGAATACATAGACCACCAGTTCCAAGGCATCATCAAAAACGTGAAAATAAACGGTCGTGCCATCCAGGGAAAGGACACAACGAAGGTGTACGTGAACAAGTTGAACTGCTCCAGCTTGGAAGTCTCGCACTTCACCACCTGGATCAAAACTCTCAAATCACAAAACCAGTACGACAAAAAGTTACCAACTTCACACGCCATCTAGTTGACAAATTTGAAATGAACTTTTAACATGACTTGTTGGATTATGTTTTAAGATATTTTGCTTTTCACTATTAATTAACGTTTCAAGAACCTTTCTATCGCTTGAAACTGTCAGACGATAACTACGTACTGCTTACATTAACGCTGGCTAGTTAGCTAGATCACTTTTTACTGATGACATGGCCAGTGTCTGACATACGTATTTTATTTGCAAAGTGCCTTAACCGAGCAAACATTTTATTTGATGAACCGCTTAATCTTGTGGTATGTGACTAAGTTTCTGAATAAACGTTACTTTGCTTTTCAATATTGAAACTATTGAGATATTATAATTTATGCCACAATGATTTGCACAAACACACACACACACACAACACCGTATTATCAAATGCATATTTAAACGAACATACACGAATTTAATACCAACATTTTCAATTAACTGATTTAAAGTAAAAAAAAGGATGGCAATTTCTGTGTTATCTCAACCTAATTTCGTATTTATCCGGTTGTTGGTCTATGGCAGGCACCAGCTTATTGGTTCAACCGAAGCTGCAACCAGCTTGCTACTCACACAGGATTTTGTCAAAGGATGATTTTCTGGTACTGACATTTATTTATTTAAAAACGAATGGCTGAACCGATTAACTAAGTAAGAATGAAACCAGCAAACCTTGGTTTGGTTTTATTTACTATCAATAACATTTTTAACCCATAAATCATACCAATTTACAACTTTTATTAAACTTATGATCAGTAAACAGAGTCAGTAGTAGGTGTGTGCAATTTTTTAATTTATTCATTTCGTCAATGATCCATACAACCGCAGAGGTGAAACCAATAAAAATAAGAATAATGAAACCAATAAAAAATAAGAATAATAAAACCAATAACCCAACAATAATAATAATATAATATAATAATAACAATATAATAACGAAAATGAAAATTCATAGTACGCAATGAAATAATAAAACTGGCACAAGAGAGAACGCTGAATGTGAATCAAACAAATAAATACAACAAAATTTCAAATAGAATTCAATTAACAATAATAATAACAACAACGACGATAATAATAATAAATAAATAACAACAAAAATAATAATAAATAAAATAACAATAATAATAAATTAATTGATTGTTATTTTGAAGCCGATCAATTTAGATAGGGCTGTCGCATGGGCCTCAGCATGCAGTCTCAAGAGGATCCTACCCAACTGCTTTATCTGCTCTCTGTGGCGAGAGAAATGAATTATTTATGTGAATAACAATAATAATAATGATAGTAATAATGAGAACTCTTTTATTTCAAAGCAAAGACAATAAATAAGTATGAAAATAAAATAACGAAATGTCACAATAATGTAATAAAATGTAATGATTGCCACAATGCTCATTTTTTAGAAAAAGTACATAGCGGGGAAGTATATTCAAATATATATCACGAATTGTTTCTGTCACAATATATGCCATACGATAGCTTTATAACAGTCTCTATCAATTCTTCGTTGAAAGAATCCGGCCACAAAATTTTAAAAAGTAAAAGATTAAAATTATTATAAAAACCTATTGGTGATATTTCAAAAGTATTTATAATTATTGTGCAGTGTTTATAGTTGTCATTTAGATTACTGTGCAAATTATCTGAATATTTTTTGATCTTGTATTGCCTGGATGATTCAAGATTTGTTTCATGACGGACCGTTAACTCTAAGATCTCTACTGTGTTGCCTAGTAGGATGGCGATGTCAGGTCGTAGAGTGTTGAACAGATCTGATATAAGGTGAACACCGTCAATTTTCAAATCTGCAAACAACCGACAATAGGCAGGCGCACACAGTTTCAATCGGTTGGTGATCGCGGCCAAAATTTTATTGTGTCTTTCAGTGTATTTTTTAAGTGCGGATGTGGAACCGCAGTTAAAAATCACATGTTTATTTGTTTGTTTACAACCGCAGAGAGGGCACAGAGGAGTTTTGCCCCATTTAAACAAATTGGCGTTTGTTGGCAGTTGCTGTACCAAATATTTTCTGGCAAATTTGAAGAGGACTCCAGCAAGATTCTCCAGAGTTTTTGACCAACGAGAAATATTATTAGTTTTGATGACGGTTTTTATTTTTGATATAATTGTGCCCTGACCGACAAGCGAAAGAACGTGGTTGAGACTTGATTCAACTCTTTCATCTTCCAGCTGTTTGAGCGATGATTTTAGGGCATTTGATTTTGAAAGGATATTGTCAACTTTGATGTAATTGATTGTTGATTCTTTGTACAAACATTGAATTTCTTTGTTTTTGTTGGTTTTAAAATAGTTTCGCAGCTTCAATCTCGTTTACTCTGCGGTATCTTTTAGGGACATAATATTATGGCCTCCCATCTTTGCTGGCAGCGAATTTAGTTCTGCTACACAGCCACTAATTGGCATATCCAACCAGTTTCAGATAGCTTCAACAATTAGATTATCCAGATTCTCTGCTATCCAAGTCAACGAGAAACTGTAGCTGCGAAGTTCAAAATTTATTTGAGTGGGAACAAACCTTCTCAAAACCTTTAGCTTCTGTTGTGGGCGCACATCCAACTTTGAGATCTTTTCCAACAACTGAGTGACCTTCAACTGTAACTCGTTTTTTGCTTTGGAATCTTTGCATTCATAATCGTAGTTTGCCTAGATACGTGAAAGATTGACCAATTTCCACGTTAGGGATTTGTACATTTTCAACCGTTAACCGTGGCAAGAATTGAACATATTTGCCATCTTTTTTCCTCATTCCAAACGAGCAGCATTTATCAACTCTCATTTTCATTTCTGACCAGTTGCACCAAAGTTGATTCAAATCGATCAGTTTTTGTGCTCCATCAGTGCTGTGAGCAATGACTGCCGAGTCGTCGGCAAATTGAAGCCATGATCTAGTAATTATGTTGGAAGTTGGGCCCCAGAGATAGCCATATTGTTGATATTCTTTGGTGTCCAAGATTTTCATGAGAGGATTGAAACAGATATTAAAAAGTAGCGGTGAACAGGGGTCGCCTTGAAGTACACCTTTTCTAACTGGTATTGCTTGCGACAATTCACCGTTAACCGATAGTGATATAGAATAGTTGCTATAGATTGATGCTATTATATTATGAAATATTTGTGGAACATGGTGGTATTTTAAGATCGAAATGATGAGATGATGGTTTACCTCTCCAAAAGCATTTCTTAAGTCCAACAATGTAACAACAATGGTGCGTTGATGTCGCTTGGCATTTTTTAATAAATGGGTTAACATTTGGGTGTGTTCAGCTAACCCATCGACAGTTGGGTAAAAGCCTTTTTGAATATTTTTGTTGATAAAATTGTTTTTGTCAAAAAAGTTGTAGAGTCTTGATTTTATGAGAGTTGAAAATAATTTATAGATTACTGGTTGCAAAGTAATTGGACGAAAATTTGATGGGTCTTGTGAATCACCTTTTTTGTAGATTAGGACCATCAATCCTCTACGCCAGCATTTTGGAATTATTGTAGCACGCCAACACATTACAAACAATTTATGAATGTATGTTCTCAATATTGGGCATCTTTTGAAAACTATAATTGAAATTTGGTCCAGAGGACAAGGAGATGCCTTTGCTTTGCTTTTCTTCACAATTGCAGTAATCTCATTGTAGGTTGGCAAATTTAAATTTCCTTGAAACGCCGGAGAAGGAAGGAGAGGGATCCAATTTGGGAGACGAAACGTGGTACGATCACCTGCGTTTAGTAGATTTTTAAAGAAGTTAGTTGCTGTTTCCATGTTGAAGAGTGGTGATTGAGAATTAGATTTGTTAAAAATATTATTACATGTTTTCCAGAAGTTCTGTTTCAGTTTAGTTGAAATGTTGTCTTTATTTTTAGATACTTTATTAGTTTTTAATGTTGCCCTTATCAGCCTGCTGAGCTTGATGACGTCACTGTTGAGTTGGCTATCTGACTGAGCCAATGTCTTTAAGTTTTTTAATTTTGTTTTTAAATGTCTAATATTGCAATTTTTGTGCTTTTTGGGTGTTGAATCTTTTGTTAACGTTCCATAATTTGACGCAAAATATGAGTAAATTATGTTTTGAAATTCGATGGCGAAGTTGTCAACATCAGCACAGTTATCAAGACATTTTAGTTCAATATGAAAAAATGCGTTGGCTTCAGCCCAAAGTGTTGACGATTTGGGTAGTTTTATACCCAGTAGTGGTTTTGGAATAGTTGTTGAATCTGATGTGTGTTGAAATGTTGTTGCATTGTTATCACCGCTGTCACTATTATAATAATAATAATAATAATAATAATAATAATAATAATAATATTAATAATGATAATAATGATGACGATAGCAACTACTATTATTTCCGAATGTAAAACCATTCCAATGAATAATTATCAATAATAATAAATAAATGAATGAATGAATGAATGAATGAACAAACAAATGAAAAAAATAATAAATAATAAACAGTTGGAAATTCCCCAAACGAACTTAGCGTCGGAGTTAGATTTCATCTGAGCCTTGAGGTTAGTGGCCCAGGTCACGATGAATTTGCAGAAATTTTCAAGTTGTGGTAATGTAATGCCCTCCATGTATTCAGTGAACCACTCTTGGGGTATCAGCTGGGATATCTACAAATTATTTTTATTATTATTTTTGCTTATTATTATTACTATTATTATTACGTTATTTGAAAGTTTACAGTTATTATTTTTATCATATTATAATTATTGTTATATTAATTAAATAAATTAGGTGAGTGAATACTTCATTTTGCCATAGATTCTTACAAAAAAAAAAGAATAAAAAGAGGAAAATGTCAGGAACCTTTTGGCAGAGTGAAATTAGCTCGATGTTGGCTGGTGCACTGGACATTGCAATCATAAGGTACCTGTTGAGTATCTTATCTAGCGTCAACGACTGTAGTTGCTGATCTGAAATGACATTCTGCCAAAGTACAATGCTCTTCATCAGCTGAAAAAAAAAATTATGAAATTATTAATAATGAAAAAATTAATTAATTACAAAAAATTTATTAATTAAATGTATTTATAATAATGATTAATAGTAATGATTAGATAAAGCAACATAATAACAATTACTAATTAGAAGAAAACTGTTTAAATTTTGTCAAGTAAAAAATTTAGAGGTATTTTGGTGAAAGTTAGAAGAGAATTTAAACATGAAAATTGATAGCGCAAACAAATTTCAAACCAAATACAAAACTTAATAATTAATTAATTGACCAATTGGTTAATTAATTAATTAATTAATTAGTCAGTCAATCAGTCAACTAACTGAATTTCACCCACCTTCAGACAAGAATAAACTTGCCTATTAAAAAACATTGTAGACTCTGATGTCTTGTTCTCCAGGACACTGTGCGTGAATGGTGAGAAAATAAAAATTATAGTTTATAATTATAAAAATAATTATTGAAAAATTATAACCAATAACAATAATACCGATATAAATTATAATATAACGTAATATTATTATTATTATATTGAAACGTAATAATTGAAAAGTTTATTGAAGTTTTCAAAGTTAATTACTCTTATTAGTTCAAGTAAAATTTTCATCTACAGTTATCATTCTATCATCCTATCATTCGTTCATTCATTCATTCATTCACCTATCCATTCATTTACTCATTCATCCGTTTACTTAATTCATCCAATTCATCCAAACACAGAACAGGATATAAGCAGACCTCTTGGGATACAGTGGGATGAACAGGTCATCGTTGATGGATTTCATGATCCTCTTGTTAATCGAACAGATGAGTGACTGTCGAAGTTAATAATAGTAATAATATGAATGATAATAATAATAATATTATTATTATTAATAGTAGTATTATTATGTTATTCACTCTATTGACATTCCTCAGAGGATTGTACTGTGATTAAATGCTTTGTTGAACAAATAACTGATAATAATAATCATAATAATGATGATAATAATAATCATAACTATCATCATCATCCTTTTTCTCCACCATCACAATAGTGAAAATAATAATTATTCCGTGGTTGAACGAACGAGCAGACGGACCTGCAAACTTTTGCTCTGTGCAGCCTCAATTGGATAGTCGACAGTGACCTGCTTGATGACGTTGGACAGATTTGTAGTCTGTTGCAGGGACATCGGGTCCCAGACACTCTCCACTAATCCTTTTACAATTTTCAAATAATAAAAATAACAATTACGAATAATAAAAATAACAAATAATAAAATAGATGATGAAAAAATTCACTTTTGCTATTGTAGCTCAATGTTTATTATCATCGTCGTCGTCATCATTATTACAATAAGTAAGACAATCTTAGTTAATAAATACTCATTTTAGCCATCACAAGTGATGGTTAAAATGAGTGAGTCAGTGAGTAGAATGAATATGAAATGAACCTGCCAACCATTTATCCGAGGCAATAGTAATTTATCTACTATATTTGGTATAAGTTTGATGTCCATGTCTTCTTCATCGCCTGCATCATCATAGACCATTTTACCTCTACCATTAACATCATTAACGTTATTATCACTATTTTTATCATTGGCTGTTGACGTTGTAGTGGTAGTAGTAGCAGCAGCAGCCGTTGTGGTTGTAGTCGTAGTACTGCTAAGGTCATCACCATTAACGGTAACATCATTATTGTTACTATTTTGGGAGATCGGTTTTTCCAAACTTTTACTTTCAGTTTCAATTTTGTTTATTGAATTTTCTTTAATGGTGCCATAGTTGAGTAGATCTTGGTACCAGGGTAGCTTCTCAAAGTTTCTACAATATTGCTGACCGTTGGGGTTTTCCAATATTTTTGTTTGGGGAATTCCCAGAAGAGAAATGAAATTTTTTTTATTAAATTATTTAATCAAAGTTTTAATAATTAAAGAAAATACTATTATTTACGAGATTAAATTTCTGATAGATCTGTAATAAAAGTTAGCAATGTGTATGTTATGAGAGAGTCGTACAAATGTATCAAACATTCAACCAGCTGTTAAAATTTTGAAAGAACCAATCAATCAACCAAACAACTAAACCAATCAGTTAAACAATCAACTAGAATGCAAATGAACGGCTAAATCAAGCAACCAAAAAAACAATCAACAACTTAATGCATCAATTAATATCAATCAACCGTCCAATCAATCACATAACCAACCATCCAACCAATCAGCAAACCAACCAACCAGCCAACCAACCAAAGGACCGACCGACCGACTAGCTAATCAATCAATCACAGAACCAACCAACTAACCTCTAATGGATTCCAAACAGCCAGCTGAACTTTGATCAATGGAGTGAGAAATCGAGGAAGGCACAAACCTAAATAAATAAGTAATTGGATGAATCAATTAAAAAAATTTAATTAATAAATTGATTAATTAGCCCCTACCTATATAAGCTTGAACGTATGAATCATTTTGTTCCTTCTTCCATCTCTCAATCTTGGAGATAATTTGTGGTATGTTACAGAATTCATCGACGACGTCATCAAATGCCGTCTTTATGTCATTTGTTAACCTTTCTATATTCATTGTTTTTGAATTGATTGATTAATGGATGGATGAATTGTTGTAATGATTGATTGATGGATGGATGGAATGTTGTAATGTTGATTGATTGATTGATGGATAAATGAATGGATTGTTGTAATGATTGACTGATTGATTGATTAATGGATTGATAGGCTGGTTGATTTATAGACGGATTGATTAGTAAAATAAAAAATTTATGAAAAACATCAACATTCGAAATTTTGATTGATATTTTGGTGACATTTAACGAAAAGATTAATTAACAATATATCATAATAATAAACGATAAATTAAATAAATAAACAATAGCTCGATATGATAAATATAAGTGTGTGGTGTGTGTGTGTGTGAGGGCATTGGTGTGTGTGCGTGTGGTGTGTGTGCGTGCGTGTGAGTGTGCAGCAAAAAACAAATTTAAAAGTGTAGAAATGGAATCAGTCAATAATAAAAAGAACAATGAATGAATGAGTCAACCAGCCTTTTTCGGTATTAAATTTTGCCACTTCTGAATTAATCTGCTCATCATCAGTTGACATGCCGTCCTTATGATCCTTTATTCCTTTCTTTTCTCGCTCTCTCTTTCGTCTGGCCCTTAAATTCAATCAATCATGTATAAAACAAGTAAATAATTAATCAATCAGTTAACCAATCAATCAATTATCCAGCCAATCACTTCACTCATTCAATCAATCAAGTAAATAATCAATCAGTTTACCCCTTTATACAGTTAAAATCAAAAATTCATTAATTCAAAATTAAAAAAGTATAGATTAACTAACAAAATCTATTTATCCTAAAAATTGACAGACATGTTTGAGCATAAATATATATACACGCACACACGTGTACACATACACGCACACACGTACACACACACGCACATACACACACATGAACAAACCTCCTTCCATCTCTTTCAGCTTTCCTTCTTTTCCTAGCAGCATCATCGGTTGATTGTGATTCAGCAGCTGCTACTGCTGCATTAGCAGTTGCTGCCGCTGTCGTTGATGCAGTTGCTTTACCTTTAAATTAATGATATGTCAATGAGGCAGGACTGATATTAATATTAATGAGAATAATGACCGCTGATAGTAATGTTGATGCCAATACTGTGTGTTAGTGAACTCTTCATTCTTCAATCAATTAATGAAATTCCTGCTGATCAATTAAGCAATCAACTACCCACCAAATTAGTCAATCAGCAAATTAACCAAAAAACCAACCATTCAATCAACCGACTAATCCATCAATCAATCTATCAACCAACCAACTGACCAAACGCATATTCGATAGATTGATCCTTGACATCTTCCTGTCGTCTGCTCACCAGCTTCTCAGCTCTCTGCCTCAACAAATCCATCATACATCGATCCAAATAATTTATCGACGTCATCTGAAAAATTATGGCATGAAAAAGTCATGATACCAAAAAATATAAACTGAATTATGAATTAAAGTAGCTATCAAAGTTGTTCATCCTCACCATCAATCATCATTAAGACCATCATCTCAGACGCTACAAACCTCAGTTAACTTCCTCATCATCATAATCATCAACCTCACAGCCATCATAGAGGTCATCACCATCCTCAAAAACATTACCCCATCATCGCCGGATGCAATCAAATCAGATGCACCTACCTTTTCATTCATGCACTCCACATAATCCTTAACAAAAGCCCGCATATCCTGAAAGAATTTGTACTGCTCCTCAACGTCGACGATCCCATTTTTAGCTGCCAGGACAGACGACAGCGTGTTACTGATGGTGTCACGTGACTCATCCTTATCTCGACGATTTGATCTCTGTCGATCTTTCAAATCGGCCAGTTGCTCTTCTAAACTTTTAACCTTTTTCGACTGGCTGGCGGATATTCGAGCCTCCATTTCTGCTCGATCGAGGGCTGTCATGTTGTTGTTGCCGCTGCTGTTGTTGATGGTGTAGTTCATATTGTCGAAGGGGTTGAAGTTGGCAGACGCGTAGTGGCTCAGTAAGTAGATGTGATGCTGAGAGAGGTGGCTGCTGTTGTTGCTGCCAGCAAGTGTGCTACAGCTGCCACTGTTGTTCACAATCACCTATAAATATGTTCATTTTGATTACAGTTATGCATTTAGATATATTTGACAAATTCCATGGATTCCAAGAAAAAAATAAATACAATCATCATCATAATATCCTCTTTATCATCATCATCATCATAACCTTCATCATCATCATCACAACCTGAGCGGGTATGTTAGTTCCTTTTTTAATCTGTTGTTCCTCCCATTGTTTCTCCTGGTCACTTTCACTATCTTCGAAAGTAAAAATAAAACTTATCATCATTTACATCACAATTTCCCCCTATATTAATCTACTAGAGGTATCAACAACATGCAATGGGCAGGGATCAAACCCAGTCACTGCAACAGCAGAGCAGAGCCCTACACCCAAACCATAACAAAATCCCCTTTTCAAAAACAACAATGACAATATAAATATAATTATAGATAATAATATAATAGAATTTAACATAATAATTAATAATTAAAAAACTATCTGAGAATATAAACATAATAATTATTTAACAAACCTTCTTCTGCCGCCAAGATCTTTTCCTCAATCTTCCTCCTCTGCATGTCTTTCTGTTTTAGAGTGATGGCCAGGACATTTGTATCCTCATCACTATCCGATGCATCATTGTCATCGTCTCTAATCAGACGAGAATTACACTTTTCGTATCTCTGAGTGTCATCAATGGGGATGAACTCCTCTCCTCCACACTCTCGAGCCATCTGTCGTTTTTTGCGAGCCAAGTGGATGAGGTTGGCATCAGGGATTGCCCCACTTTTCAAGATGTCCTGCACTGATGGGACCAGTGGTTTGGATTTTGAGCTGTCGGTGTCAGGTTCATCATCTTCATCATTGATGGTCACCAGTATTGATTCTTTTGATGGTGGTTTGCCTTGATTTTTCTGGTTGCTTTTCTGTTTCAGAGTCTGGAAATGAGTATAGTTAGTATTAGCTCTAGAAAATTAGCTAAAATTTTTATTTAGACGCTATTTTGGATATTTTTTAAACTCTCACCTTTTTTATTTGTTCATCTTTTGTTTCTTTTCTCAGCTGATGGACAATATTCCTATTGTGACTTGATTTTTTTATTTGGAAGACATCTGAAAAATTTGATGGTTTAATTTTTCAAGTATTTTGATAATTCAAAACACATTTATAATGGCAAAGACCATCTAACAGAGACAAAATGAATGAAATAAATAAAACAAGCAAGAATAATATATTTTTTGTTGAGAGTGTTAGATAAAACAAAAAATTTAAAAATTAAATGGAATTTTAAAAGCCTTGAAATAACATCTGATCACATTAAAATTTAATTAAATATATTGAAGATTTTTTGTTTTTCACCTTCATCCATTTCAAAGCTCAGTACAGAACCAGCTGAAGCAACTTTTGACATGGAGTTTCCTTTAGAAGAATCGTCAGAAATCGTCTGCTTGTTGGAGGCGGCAGGTTTAGCCGAAACAGGTTGCTGAACGGCAGAAACAGGAGCAGTAGCTGACGGCTGAATTTGAGGGGCAACATTTGCGGTTGGATTGGCATTATTAGTTTTGTTGTCTTCGTCAGAATCAGAGTCGGCTTTACGAACTCTAATATTTCTTTTCGATTTTTTAAACATGACGAATATGAACGAAGGATAATTCCTAAGCGGCAATTTTACTATATAACGTGTATTTTATAACTGAACGATGAAAATGCGACTAGACCTCAAACCAAACATCTGCCATTTTGAAAATAAGTGATGGGCAATTGAATGCATTTAAAAAAATATGTTTACAAAAATTAACCTTTAGAAGTTTTTTAAATGCAAGAACACATTTAAATTCTCAGATTTATTTATTTATCATGTAAAATTTGTTAAACTTTTATTATTGTTATTATTAATTAGCGATAAATTTGCAATTTTCAGCAAACAAGAATATACAATCATCCTGCTATTAACTATTTCGTTTTTATAGAATATATTTATATTTTTAATTTAATTTTAATTTTTAATTAATTTTTAATTTTAAATGAAATAATTTGCTAGTAAAATAAACATATATAACCTCATACCTTAGTTTACTTCACAGCAAAATATTTTTGTTCATGTAATAATTGCATATAATATATATTATATATATAAAATAAACAATAAGTTTTACAGAAAAACTGTGATGATGAGGAATTTAATTGATGTATGTATGTGTATATGTGTGTGTTTGCGTGTGTGTGTGTGAGTTTGTGTGTGTGTTTGTGTGTGTATTATAGTTGGAAAGCCTTTAGTTACTATATTGCTAATGCAAGTTTGCTGTACTAATTAATATAATATAACTATGTATAACTGTAACACAACCTAAAAAAAATGATATGCATAAATATATAAATGAAGGAACAATAATAATAATAACAACATGTACATATTACAAATATAGATAAGTGTAATAAATTATGTATTAAATGTAATATATGTACATTACACAGGCAAAACACACACAAACACACACACACACACACACACACATATATATATATATATATATATATATATATATATATATATATATATATATGTCTGTTTAATGGCTGAATGTTATATATTGCATAACAAATCTTCACATTGTTCACTCTGGAAAGAACCTGTTTCACTTTTGTTTAGTTCCTGCGTTTCCATGATTTCTTATGCTGAACAATAGTTTATTAAAAAATAACCTAACATAATAAAAATTATTATTTATTATTTATAACTATATTTTAGAATGGCTGATAAATATTTGAGAAATTTATCATCTGGTTCTGGTTCACCAAACTGTGAGAAGACCATATTGTTGGCCCACCCATCCATGTTCCAACTTGCCAGGAAGGTTATTGATGCTGCTAAAAGACATCAGGTGTTTTTAATATTTTAGTTGAAACTTTTTTTAAAAGTTAATTTGTGTCAATTTTCAACAACCATTCTTCAAATGAAAAATTATTATTATTTATTCTTTCATTAGTTTAAAAAATAAATAAAATAATAGACTGTAAATTCAACCAAACAAGCCAATTTATTTAACTGAAATATTAACTTCAACTAACTTGATCTAAATGCTATTTAAATGAATTAATAAAAATTTGTGCATCCACTTGAAATTCAAATTCAGCGACTAATGTTCAATTTCTCATTAATTAGCAAAAAAAATTTCTTTCACAAAGTGTAATGAAGTGTTTGAGTTCATTGAGGATGGTGTCAAGTGGCGCTCATTTAAAGACGGATTCCCAGATTTGTTCATTGAAAATGTTAAGAATATCATGAATAAAAAGGGTTTTCTAAAAAATATTTGAGATGTTAAATCAATTTTTTAGCATATTTTACCAGATACTTTTTTTAATATTTGTTAATTAAGTTATAATAATTAGATGATGTTAAGTTGTTAATTAATTTCAAATTTTAAAAATTATTTTTCAGTGTTTATCTTAGCAAGTTTCCATAATCCAGCTGTTATATTTGAACAACTATCGCTAATGTATGCCATTCCAAGGTTTGTGTGTGCGTGTGTGCTAAATTACAAAAAAATAATTTTGTATATATTTTTTTTTAAAATATGAAGATACCTGGCAAAATCGGTGACCATCATACTACCATACTTTCCAACTGGAACCATGGAAAGAGTAGATCACGAGGGTCAGATTGCTACGGCAAAGGTTTCTATACAGACTTAAACTCATAATTGTACATGGTGGAATAGTTAAAGTGCCTGGCTCTGTTGATGCAGTGACTGGGTTCGATTGCACGGTGATCGTACCTGCCACTAGCAATGCTTATGATGCCATGGTTGATGACATTATAAAGATATTTATAAAAGATTCGTTTTCCATTTTTTATTAATTCTTTCCTTTTTCTGTTTTTTTTTCTCTTATTTTTTACATTTCTCCAAAAGACATTAGCATCCTTGCTGTCAGCAATCCCATTGACTTCATGTGGTCCGGCTCAAATACTTCTCTTCGATATACACGCCCTACAAGAGAGGTTCTACTTCTCGGAGCAAGTCATACCCAGGTTTTGGTTCATTTTTTGTTTGGTGAGTGAGTGAGTGAATGAACGAATGAAATCGCTGAACAATACACCTGCTAGGCACCAGAAAAACAATTCCTAATTAGCATCATACTTTCATCATAACATGTCCATATTTTAATAATTGCGCATAGATGTATATGTATAGTACAGTACAGTTTCAGTTAGATGTGTATAAACATACATACATACATGCGTGCATTCATTTTCATTAACATTCAACATGTACAATGTATGTATGTATTAACTTGCGTATGTTACTCATATCTGGCTCATACTACGAATGTTTAAGCGTACATGCATACATACACATACACATTTACACAAATACGTACATACACACACAGACACATGTTTAAACGTATACAATACACACAAATACCTAACAATTTATACAAAGTGTATGTTTTATGTCTATTCCAATTCTTGTATTTAATTAGTTTAGTTGAGTAGCGATATTGTCGGTAGTTTTGTTTTGATGTTTCAAGTAGCAAGATAAGATGGTATGGCGTTGACTGTGTGTGTAATCTGGACAAGACAGCGTCTGAACGCCACTTGGATTGACTGACTTACTTCAGTAAAGTCTTGACTTTTTACATGCATGCGCGTTTTTAAGATTTTTCCTACATAATAAAATATAGGATGGTCGAAAAAATCTTCCTAACATTCAAAACACGTTGAGATTATTTACTTTACGTGCACACTCAAACGTGCAAACAGCAAGTGCATGTACCATAATATTAAGGAGAAAAGTATTGAATGCAACCAACCAGGTTGGAAACAGCCGTGCCGCTCTTAACGAAGGAAATCATCCAACTACAAAAACTCGAACCTGTCGCCATCGCCTTTCCAGACGAGGGAGCCGACAAGAGGTTCAGACCGTGGGTGGAGAGTCTCAGTTCTGTGTCCGTCGTCATCTGCACCAAAGTTAGGCAGGGCGCTCAGAGGGTCGTCAAGATTAAGGAAGGTGAGTTTGAGACTGTTGAAAGAGGTTCTGTTCTGTTCCCTCAATGGAGTGTTTTTATACTTTGGATAGATGATTTTTTTAACTTTGGTGCTTTCTTAATTGAATAGTAAAGAATTCGATTCAACTCAATTTAATGGTTCCTATTTTATAAACCAATTTTTTGCATTGTACATAAATGCTTAACTAAAAGGTGAGCCAGGACAGAAGCACGTTATCATTGTCGATGATCTCGTTCAAAGTGGAGGCACCATCATCGAATGTACCAAGGTTTGTTTTTTCTAATAGTAGTTCATGTATGTTTCTGTGTATGTGTGTGCGTGTGTGTGTGCATGTGTGTGTGTGCGCGCGCATGTGTTGTATTTTTATTTGTATTTTTGTGGATTGGAGGTGTTTCTTTACATGTTTTTGTGTTCTGTTCTATGTGGCTATGTGCTAATGTGCTATATATAAAAATTTAAGCGTTAATGACATTTTCATTCAGGTTGTGTTTGTTAAACAAACGAAATATTAATTAGTCATTTTGAATTAACTTTGAATAAATAAATACACAAACACTATCTCTACAGAATATATATATTTATAATTTACATAAAAAAAATAACAGGTATTGTTGGCGGAGGGAGCGCTGAAAGTCAGTGCATTCGTAACCCACGCAGTTTTCCCTGGAGGATCTTGGAAGCAATTCATAACAGCAGACGAGCCGGCTGTGAAGATTGAAAATTTCTGGATCACCGACTCCATTCCACACGCTAATGAAATATCGAACAGTCCGCCATTTAAAATACTTTCCATAAATGACCTCATCGTCGACAACTGTTTGCGATGATATGGCGCTCACTTTTTTCTCAATTTTTTATTCATATTTTATTTTGTTAAAAATGTTTTTCTTTTTGCGTTTTCTTGCCTTATTCTTTTCACTCTGTTGTATTTTTATTTAGTTTTGTTGTTGCATCATTATTTTCTATTTTTCAATAAATTACATACTAGTAGTAGTAATGCTATTCTGGAAGTTATCCAGAGAGCATGCTGTCGGGCATGCTGGCACAGCTGATTCGTTGTTGTTCATTTAACAATCAATGCCTGCTTAAAATTTGTTCATTGATTGTGCCTCAACAAGTTCATCTGGTAATGAGTTCCAAGTATTTGCGACTCTATTGAATAAGTAATTCTCTCTGCCTCTATGTCTTGTTAATTCATTGAAATATTTCAAACTGTGACCCTGTGTTTTGGTTTTGTTTTGACTATGCTAAAACGATTATTTAAATCAATTTTGTCCAAATTACTATCAAAAAAAGTTAAACAAAACCTCACAAAATTATTTATTTATTGCAAAAAATATTAAATAAAATGAGTATTTTTTATTAAATTGGTGAATGAGAAAATACCAGCAAAATGAATTATTGGGTTAACTAAAAAATAGCGGGAAAAGATTTAAAAATTTGAATTTTAAAATTTAAACTGACTGCTGACGCACAATGCAATTTTCAAGCGCGTAATATATTTAATAAGTTAGACTTTAATTTCTTTAAATCAACAGTAAAGCTTTTTAAATCAATTCAAAGTTTTAATCTTTTTAATTATTGCTATGAATTATGAGTGAAGTGGTGATATAAGAAGAGAAATTGATAAAAGAATGTAGCTAGATTTTAGGACTGACGTTCGTCCAACCATCTTCTCTCCTCTCGGCAACATGTGCTGATCTGGTTGGTTCAATAAATATTAATTTATTCATTTTTACTTATTACAATATCGATAAGAAACTAAAAATTTATCATTGGAAGCTACAGCACTGGTGCTGGAAATATAGGGATCTTTGAAGTTATAAGATTGGTGTCTGTGTGAACGAACGTTAAAGATTACGATAGTACGTTCGTCGCAAATGCATTTGTTTGAGAAATTTTTTAGTTGGAAATGCCATCAATATTTTTGCTATTTTTCGTCAAATTGGTGCAGCTAGCAATGCCCACATGCTCGCCACCAGAAACTGCTGATATATGCGTTCTACTCCTTGGGGAATGCTGCTTGGTTGGCGAGCTGTTTTAGCACGAAACTTGGAACTTCCAAGTTTGCGAACGATCTTAAATTGTAGCTAGAAGAATTTTGATGCTAAATTGTAGCTAGAAGAATTTTAGGACTATAGAATTTGTAAAATTTTAAACATTATTAACTGGGCAACAAATGAAGCATTCAACAAATTTCAGCTTGAAAGAGTTTGCAGATTTTGTTTACAGCGTATGACTGTTAAGCAGTTGTAATTAGTAAATGTTTACAAATGTTAGGAGACTACTGCAAAATTTTTATTTTTTAAGGATACATTTGAAGATATAAACTGTGGAAACTTATACTGAGCTTTTATATTTTGTAACTTGATCGACCTAAGGGAACGACCTAACATCCACAAACACGCATCTAACCAGAACTGATCTTTCGAAATTGGTAGGCAGCTTCAAATCCCTCGCCATCGTACACGTCGTCAGATCTGTAAGTTCAAAATGTGCGCGTGATTCAAAACATGGATCATCGTTACCATCACGTTATCACTTCTTCATCATTTTCTCCAATTTTTAAATCAATTTTCCCGTTTCAATGAATATAATGCACACGTGCGTGTTTGATGTGTGCGTGGACGTGTATGTGTCGGGTGCGCGTCTATGTGTACGCAGTACATGTAAGTATGTATGGGGGTATATGTACGCAAAACGTGTGAGCTGAGCAGTATGCGTGTTTATAGGTGTGCTTGGCTGTGTTTGTGTGACGCAATTTCCCTTAGCAGAGTAGGAGAAAAAATGTGATGCAAAGATTAGGAAGCATTTGGGAAGGCGCATTAGGCTTAAAATATATGTTAAGAAGGGAAAAATGTGTTTGCGTGTGTGGATGTGTGAGTGAAGGAGAGATAAAGAAAATAATATGAAAAGCGTGAAAGAAATAAGAAATAGAAATAAACCACAAAAAGGACAAACAAAATGGAAAAATTACGCTTATGAATCATGAAATAATATGCCCTAGAACGTAAAACAGTCTGTATTTATATGAAAATTGTTGAGAAAATATGGAGGAAAGATGACAAAAAATACTATAAAAAATAAAACCGACTTGAAGGTGACCCTAAAAAAATTTCCGTCACTGGAGATCTCTTTCCTCTTGCTGACAACATCCGTTCCACACAACCTGTCCATCTTCCTGTCCACCAGAGGAATGTTGAAGTTCGAAAGCTCCACATAGTCACTCTGCGTTCCATCCTTACAACTGCGTGCGTATGTGTGTATGCGTGTGCATGCATGTATGAACGCATGTGTTGTGTATGTGTACTTAAGTGTGCGCCTCTATGCGTGTAAATAGAAGAAATGCGCTTTTCGTATACAAAATTTATGCGTATAATTCAGAAAAATGTCTCTAGAAACTGTTGAATATTAGTACGGGCATGCAGGCCTATGCATGTTTAGATGTATAGCTCCAATAGATCTAAATACGATCTTAGCATAATTAGCCAAACATTTTTATATGATTAGCCAGATACTGTCACGTTCATTTCTTACACTCGCTACGTTCCCTTACTACGTCTGCGTTCTGCAGCATTTTAAAGGCATGATCTATATTTTATTAGGAGATTTTTTAAGCTTTTTTAGCCATTTTTAAGAAAACTGATTGCTGATACAAAGGTTGACTGAATACATCAAACATTCAAGCATAACAATAATATTAATAACAACCACAACAAATGATAATAACAGTAATAATAACTCCACGGAAAAAGCAAGAACTTTGCAGACGCATGTGCATTTATAACAAAAACGACAAGAGACAGGCGCAATTTATTTATTGCCTCAAAAACGCCTCTTATTCCTATTCTACAAAAGAACAAAAAACGCATTGCCATCATCTTACGATACAATTTATATAGCGCAGAATAGCAGCTTACACAAAGGCTACTAATATTTCACAAATGTTTAGTTTCTTTTAATTTTCATGTTTAGCTTAAAACTGAATAAATTTATAAATTTCAAAAAAATGTAAATAACATTTTTAAAGTTTAAATCAACAACATCAATCAGAGACATGATATTTTCCTGTTTATGTTAAAAAATCTTACCTAAATTATACCGAATAAATAATGATAAATGTTAAATTAATACATGTATTAAAAATTAAACTGTTTCAAAAAAACTTTCATTTCAAGTTTGGTTATTTAATCATTCAACAGCTAGTAAATTAACTGAACAACTTAACTACTGGTCAGTCATTCTAACAAACTTAAAAGTCGTTTAAATAACGCTATGTGTATGTTTCAATTCAAACTCAGAGTATTTTGAATTATTTCGAAAATTTTAGATACATTTGTTTCAGATTTGTTCTTTTAACTTCGCCGCTGGTGGAAAAATATTCTGCAAGCAGCATTTTACCCGCAATTATGTTACCATGGTCTAAAAATACCAACCAACCAAAAAATCCAACTAATATCAATCAACTAACCCAACTCACACAATCAACTTAACTTACTTGGAATGCCCTTCAACATCAAAATATTTGAAAGAGATATATATCCTTTCATGTTGGCTCCCGTGGAAGATGTAGTGGCATTCCGTGTTGCGTGGGTAGTATCCGGGATAGTTGGGAGATGAAAATGTACCGTTGTTTCCCTGGCTGCTGAAGTATTCGAACATACACTCTGCATATGTTTGTGTTATATATATATTATTATTATTTATTATATATATATATTATATATATATATATATATATTATATATGTATATATATGCGTGTGCTAATGCTAAAACAAAAGCTTAGCTTGGAAACTGGAAACTGAAATTTTTTTTTCGATTTTTGAAAGATTTCACTCCTCCTTTTGGTTATTCAGCCTTTCATCGGCGTGTGTTTGTTGTGAAAAGAAATTAAAAATTCAAATTTGGAAATAGAAAGTAATTTTGCATGCATGTGGGTTGGGTGTGGGACGAGAGCCGTCAAACCAATGCTTTCCGATGAAATTATTGAATGTACGCTCGCCTGAGTTCGATTTAATTTATTCACATACGTTTGTAAAGAGTTTTTATACAAAAAAGGTGAAAAAATGGATCTAAATGTAGCTATTTTAAATAATAAATAAATATATCTTTATTTTATTAAATTATTATTATTATTGTTGACTTGCATAACCATCAACCTAATTTATTGAAACAGTTTTATTGGTAAACTGTTCATTAAGGCCGTGTCAACGAAACCACAACGCGTCTGTATCACCATTAACTTTCCATAACGCCCGAAGAGTAAAGCGCTACATAATTGTTATTGCACTCAAACGTCATAGCGCAATGTATACAATGTATTTCTCGCGACCGATGATTTTATTCTAATTAACTTCAGTTTGAAGGTAACGAATGCAGTTCATGTGCTTTTGCTATTTGTTTACTTAGATTGATGTGTTACTTTCGTTTTATTTACTTCTTATTTTTCAAAAAATTCATACTCTGGCAGGCAGACGCCGGATCAATTACCTACTAACATGCAAACAGCCGATAAAAAATATTTTAAAGTGAAGTGAACATACGAAAATAATGCAGGTAAAGTAATGAAAATGACGTAGTCACGTTGGCTGCTTATGTTCATGTTGTCATCTCACACCTTTTGCCAATTTTTTACATTTTGATTTTATTTGAAAACGGAAGCTTAGAGACCAAAAGCGAGTTTGTGGTGCCGCCGAAACTAGAATAATCAAAATTTAAACAATTATATTTTATAAAATATGGTTGCTCATTTTTCAAGTTACCTTAATTATAATTATTGTTACCTTTCTTATGAGTATTGTTACGTTACTTTTAAGTTAAAAGTATTGTTGCGTTACTTATACTTATAAGTAACTTACTTGCGTTTATATTGTTAAGTTATTACCATATTATTGTTACTAATTATTGTAACAAGAGTATGAATTTTACGAGTTTAAAATTTTAAAATGACGTCTGGTCATGGTCCGGTGTTTTTAAAAATAATTGTATATAATATTTAGAATACAATCGCGGTAATACACGCATATACTGCGACGCAGTAACATATAGCGTGTAATTATATTTTATTATCTAGCATAAAACGCAATCATGGAATGTATGCATAAATTTGATTACTGTGAAATGTGTTTGTGTGTGCGTGTGTGTGCGTGTGTGTGTGTGTGTCGTCGTTGGACAAATTGCATGCTAAACTTGTTCTATTTTGGCTACTAACTTATATTGGGCTGGTTCTTGTTCTGTATTCCTGTCGTTATGCCGAAATCTGATGAGTTGTTGTTTTGTTACTTGTCTGAGTTTTGAATGGTGGGTGTAAACATTTTCTAGTAATTTGTGTAATAAGTTTCAATAGTAAACTTGGATAATACTCAATTTTTAATTTAAAAAGAGTGACATACCTATTAATTTTTCGGGACATAAAATTAATTTCTCAAAAAATCAATGACAAATTTGGGAAAATTGTGGCAAAGATCATCTATAACAAAACGAAAATAATATATAAGTTAGATAAACATCTGGAGATGGTAGTAGGTAGTGATCGAAATGCACAAGGCATCGAGCGCAAGAGTGTATGATGCGTTGGCTTGGGCGTATTCCCGTACGCTGCATGCGTAGTATTTGTTGATTTCCTCTGAGAATTTTTGAGAAGTGAACCAATAAATAAATGAATAAATAAACAAACAAATGTATGTATGGATGAATGAATGAATGAATGAATAAAATGAATAAACTTAAAAGGTAATTTCAAAAAGTGGACCAAAACGAACTTGTGACGAATTTGTAGTTGGCACTGAAGGCTGGTCCTAAAATTTTGGTGCTACTCCTCTTCACGTACTCGAGTTCCATGGTGTTGTCGGTGGACATGAACTTGAGGAAAGTCCGATTGCCGCAGACGTTCGTCAGCTCCTGTTTCGACCTGCCTACAAACACGTGGACCTTTATGAAGTCACCTGTTTCGCATTGGCTTCGTTAGGGGTGTGGTGTTTGGTGTTCAGTTAGTTCGTCTATCCGTTAATTATTATTTATTTATTCAGTCGTTCATTCACCCATTCATTCGCTAAATCATTCATTCATTTGGCTAACCAATCATTTTAATCCCAAAAATTATAAAAATTGTATCAAAACGTTCTAACTTGACGGTATCGTGTTCAGTGTCGTCCCATCCAAGACTGACGTTGTTCAGGGTCAGCTGTACCCTCTGGTCTGCCACACCCTCAAAAGTGTAAACCACCTTGACATTCGTGGTAATGATTATGATGATTATTATTGTCATTATTATCATTATGATGGTGGTGGTTATTATTATTAAGATGACGAAATAATTGATTTGCTGGTGAGGAAAATGATGGTAACGTCTTACATGAATCTAATAAAAAACCACTAGCTTCACTTCACCAGCTCCACATTCTAAAGTATCGAATTGTATGTAGTGCGTGTTCAGTAAAACTTGATGGTAATTATTCGGCTGATTCAAGATGATATATCTATCTATAACCATTACCAAATTATAAACTTTTGCGCTCAGAAGATTGACTACTACGTGAATCTAGTAAAGAACTATTAACTGAATTCAGTATATTAGCGCCACATTCCAAAAATAAACGAACTTCAGTGATTATTCTGTAATACACAATGACAACTATTCGCTCGATTCAAGATACTATACATACATACATACATATATATATATATATATATATATATATATATATATATATATATATATATATATATATATATATATATATATATCTTAATGACGTCGAGATTTCCGTCACCAAATTGAACATTTTCATGCCCGGCAGATTGAGTGCTCCATGAATCTTTTAAAACCTTCCAGCCTAATTTTCAATACCAGCGCCACATTGTGCCTTGAACATAATGATTTGTTGCTTATTACGTCAATTGTTGGTAGAAGATATTTTACTAAAAACCGAGTTTTACTAAATTTTTATATAAAAGCTTCTCATAACGCTGCCCCCCGTAAATCCGCCACTGAGTGATGGGTGTATGTATGTATGCATGCATGCTTGTGTGTATGTATGTATGTATGAAAGAGATAACTCGCATATCAATACAATTGCATTGTAAATTTTAAGACCACCAGACCACTTTTTGACGAAACGAAATCATGTAGATCGTATTTTTGTCACGGCGGACAACCTTGTTAAAAATATAATTATATTAATATAATTTTCTACGCCCTCCCCACCATCATTACATTTTAAACGGGAAATGTCGGTAACGCGAGTAGAAGCAGCAGCTTCAGAGGCGATCGTATATATGGAAGCAACGTGTGGCGCACAAGTGCTCTGCGTGTACACATTTGTGCGTACGAATGTGTGCGTTTGCTGTGTACATAAACGTTGTACATATCATTTTTAGGCGTACTGTCCATGTCTGAATTTTGCTGGCTTCGTGTACAACTGTTGTACGTTGTGTCGTCTTGGGTAGTTTGTTTGTTTGTATGTATGCATGCATGCATGTATGTATGCATGCATGTATGTGTGTATGTATGTATGTATGTATGTATGTATGTATGTATGTATGTATGTATGTATGTATGTATGTATGTATGTATGTATGCATGCATGCTTGTGTGTATGTATGTATGTATGAAAGAGATAACTCGCATATCAATACAATTGCATTGTAAATTTTAAGACCACCAGACCACTTTTTGACGAAACAAAACTAAGTTTAATACAAAGAATCACCCGAATTTTAAGCAAAAATGAGTAGATGCTCATCAATCAACGATTGCTAGAATGCACAAAGGTGTGACCAAACAGAATGACTATGACCATACGTACATGCAAATGCGCCGCATATACATTAAAATACAAAAATACCTAAATACGCCAGTTGAAAATACACAAAATCAACATTTTCATACAAAATTTTTTTTATTATTCTTTAAAATGATTTAATACAAACGGAAAGGTACTAATGTATACACAATCAAATAGACGTACAACATACAAAAATAATATGAAAGCTACAATTACAAAATTCAAAACACAAAAACGAGACACAAAAGTACGAAATTCAGAACATACAAACATCGCAAACATACATACAAAACATACAAACAAATTAAAAAACATACAATCAAAAAAAACAACAAAAAATAAGAAAATACAAAAAGATACAAATACCTTAACGTCACTGGTACATGTTTTCGTAAAAACGGGGACAGTTAGATGCCCCTCCAAGCCATCAAAACTGATATGGGTCTTCGAACGATAGGGCGGGTCACAACCTGGTGATGATGATGATGGGAAGATGAAGGTGATGGTGATGATAATGATGTTGTTGATGTCGATGATTACGGTGGTGATGATTATGTTTTTGTTGATTTCAATAGTGATGAGGACGATGATGATGAAGATGATTGCTGTGATGGTTAAGTTTTGTTGTTGTTGATATAACGATGATGATGGTGTGTAGTAGTAATGATGGCGATTATGATGATGAGGATGTTGTTGTTGTTGTTGTTGTTAATGAGTATGATGATGTGCTAATGATGATGATAGTTGTTTATTCCTGACGTCATTACAAAAAAAATATTTAAAAAAATCGTTTAAAAATTTTCAAATAAAATTCTCGCTAACCACCGTCGTCAGACGTGTCGACAAGCAACACTAATAAACTCAAGCCGCAAACCACGGCGATATTAACATTAGTTAACTCTTCGATCATCGACTTGACCCTTTCGAAACTGAGGGTCATCTTGTGCTGTCCAACTCAACAAACGTTGCCTAACAACTGCCAATAATAACTTATAACCATTTTTTTTTGTTTTACATTACGTAAATTGCATAGATGTGTTGAAGTTAACTGTTAAATAGAGATGGATTGATATGAATAAACTGACTGGCGTATGTTTTATGTATATATTACGTTTATATGTGTATGTATATGTGTATGTTTGTATTTAAAGCAATAAAATTTTAGTAGTGGCAGTTGTAGCAGCAGTAGTGGTAGTAGTAGCTGCAGTAGTAGTAGTAGTGGTGGTAGTAGTAGTAGCCGCAGCAGTAAATAGTAAAAGTAATAATACTATTTATAGGAAACGAATATAGGAAGCAGTAGCAAAAATTTGTTTTCAGCAGGCGAAGCTGAGTTAATCACTCTCCAACAGAACAAAAACGACTTTTTTTCAATTTGTCATCCAGTATTTTTTCCAATTTGTAGGGAGAAAACTTCAGAAAACCAACATTTTGTTCTGGTAATTTCTGCAAATGTTGAGTTACTGCGATGTATTTGGCGACTCAACTCGGACGCTAACAACGTTATAAACTAATCTACGAACGAGTGCGTATGCATGATATCTATTGTATGTCTCTGTTGTATGTCTCTGTTGTATGTATCTGTTGTATGTCTCTGTTGTATGTATCAGTCGTATGTATCTGTCGTATGTATTTGTACCAGATATCGATGTTTAAATTCTTTGTATATTTTCATGTATTTTTTTTATTTCGCGTTAAAAATATTTTTATGTAAAAAAAAACCTCTTGTCTTAAACGTGTTCTTAACGTATAAACCTCCTTAAGTCATTCTTCTGCCTGCATGTATTGCAGCACATATAAGGGGACAAATGCATACATTCATAAAAAACATGTATAACACGCATATGTATATTCATATACAAGTACACACATATACATACATACGTATATACATAAATAAATGCATGAATACATATATACATAAATAAATACATACCTACATAAGAACATACATATACACACAACATATAAATTCTTATATATATAATATTACAGAGCATACATTCTTTGATATACTAGATACCTAAATCCTTGTACACAGGGATAGCGATGCGGAATGATGCTCTGTGTGTTTGCACGCATGTTTATGTGTGCTTGTACATATGTGAGTCTGTCTCGTATGAATGTACGTCTGTATGTATGTATGTATGTATGTATGTATGTATGTATGTATGTATGTATGTATGTATGTATGTATGTATGTATGTATGTATGTATGTATGTATGTATGTATGTATGTATGTATGTATGTATGTATGTATGTATGTATGTATGTATGTATGTATGTATGTATGTATGTATGTATGTATGTATGTATGTATGTATGTATGTATGTATGTATGTATGTATGTATGTATGAAAACCAAATCAGCGATGAGTGACAATAAACAGTCAAACATCTGAAAAAATCGGTTAACAATTGATATCTCGTTATTCGCTCACGTCGGCGTTTAATTGAACATTTTCGGTAACACAGACGCGCAAAAACCTTTGCAGCAAACAAGATATATGATTCATGGCGAAAAATAGCTCTCTGCTGTCGCCGGACCTGCCACTTATCATTTTGCAAAACTTTTTAAAAAATATTGAAGTGTTGTTGTCCATCGGGCCAAGAACCTCGATGCAAACAGGTAAAAAATCCATCGAGGGCAGGGCACCTTCATATTTTTTAAACTTTTCATCCGATGCCCTGGTTGCGGCCAAACCACTTTCTTTGCTGGTTAAGTGCACGTACCGTTCCGCTAATGTGCCCGGAACGGTTACGTCCCACGCCAGGCATCTACCGGCTCTCCAAGGAATCAACGTGCAGCCATCCGGACGTTTTCCATCCAACGCGGAAATTCCCGAGGGCTCTTTAAGAACGGGTATTGAAGCCTTGGAGAAAAGCCGACAGATGTAATCATTTAATGCGGAATGGCGCAACTGACGACCTCCACCTAAACGACAGACCAGGCCGTGGTGACCGAGTTCGTTAGCTTCCGCACCGCACCTACACAGATATTTATGGTGGACCGTTAAACCCAGACGAAAACCAATGGCCATCCTGACCGTCTCATCATCCAGTCGGGTACCCACCGATGAGTTGGGCCAGGATCTCAACCAACCGCAGCTCGCGTCGCTTGACGCGGCCAGCAGACGAGCCGAAGTTGCATCGTCGGGACTAGAGGACAACAAAAACCTAAAAGTTGTTTTGTATGCCTCTTCCAGCAACCGAGCTTGAAAATGTTTTGCTCGGTTGGGTGATGCTGTTGGGGTACCAAGATTCGTGAAAGATTGCCGGAGCAGGGCAGACTGCAGGTCGAGCGTGGCAGCGGCAGATGATTTGTAAACAATAGGTGCCAGCTGGACCACGCTTAACAACCCCAGTCCCCCAAACCGAACCGGCAACTGGGCCTGAGACCAGCCCCTGTCTGTCAACTCAACATTGCATAGGGCTGACAAAGCTGACCTCAGGGCGCCATCGAATCCGCCCAAAATAGATGCATCAACCGATAAGGATGTACGAAGGAAATACATCAATCTAGGCAAACTAAGGGCGTTGCGGACGATGGTCAGCGCGTCGTGGACCGGAAGATGAGACACTCGGTTGAGGGCGAATTTCAGCTCTGCGAGTTTTTTTATTAAAAAAAGTGTTTTGAAACTCACCCTCCATCAATGGGGTGCCCAAGAAGCTCAATGATGCCTCAGACACTAAGGGCACTTCCGCCAGTGTCTGTGGCATTTCAAAAGAGTCGTTTGCGTACAATTCGCATTTTTTAATATTAAGCTCAAGCCCAATGATGGAGGCATTGTCTTTTAAAGACAGGAAATCAGTAGCTAAAATTGAACCCTCGGCGGCCAAACTGATATTGTCCAGGTAGCCGCAAACGAATTTTGAAAGAGATTTTTCCAACACCGGGTGTAGGGTCAGAGCAAACAACATCGGCCCCAAAGGGTCACCCTGTTGCACCCCCTCGGACGATTCCATCACCCAGGTGTTATAACCAAGAGAAGAGATTCGGCCATATGCGGAGTGGCAGTAATTGTAAATTTGGGGACAGAGCCGTTTGACTGCCTCCAGCATCGAATCTCTCCTCAGGGTATTAAAGGCATTCCTGAAGTCAATTTTTAAAAAACCCCATTTATCGGGTAAGTCCAGAACCAATTTACGGGCCGCATGTACGGCCGCCTCTGCTCCTCCTTTCACCCCAACGCCCAGTTGAATTGGGTAAAGTTTTGCCTTGGTTTCTTCCAACACCAAGATCAGAGCACATTTGCTGGCCAACCTTCTCCAAAAGTTACCGACCACAATAGGTCTAACTCCCCCATCTTTTTTTTTCAACGCTATCAAACGACCCCCGAAAAAGAAACGGCTGGCGGCGGATGGGCACGCGCCAGATAAAATTATATTTATAAACTGTGTTAGGGAGCTTACAAACTCGTCAATGGGCAGAGGGCCTGAAATTAAATCTTTAATGTGCTGGGGCCTTAGGCAGTCAAGGCCTCCAGACGAACCATTCCCAAATGACTTCAGGGCTGACAACACCTGGGTGGGTGAAACGCAACCATTTACGGTTTCCGGTGCAGGAAAGACTCGCCTGTCCGATGGTGACCTGGGGTGGATGGCGTTGAGTCTAACCAATGTCTCAGGCGAGTCCCCCGCCAGACCCTCGGGAGAGCAAACAAGCCTGACAGCCGCCGAAAGATTGCCCTGTTCTATGCGGGCGATTGCGGTTTGAATCCAACTGTTTGGATTGTTTTTTCGTAGTTTTATTGTATTGTCGATTTCAAAGCCAGCCGCAATAGACTCAACCTCCAATGTAGAGTAATCTGCCAATCGTTTGTTAACATGATTACCCTGGTTGAATCTTCGACCCCCTCTGGCAGGCTTTTTGAGGATATATGGAAAAAAACAATGAAGCCTGTACCAGTGAGTTGGGTCGCAAGGTTCATTACAAATTGCCGCCATGAGGGACATCAATTCTTTTATTACTTTTTCCCTACATGGTTTCGGCACATGATCAATAACCGGGGTTTTTCTCAAGGCGGCCGTCAGTCTGTCAAAAAAAGCGTTAAGGTCAGTTCCCATGGGAGCCTCCGTGACCGAAGCTGATGTACGTGCGGCTTCGCGACCCTCGTTGACAGGTGCAGCGCGGGGAGCCAAACCCGAAGGTACTGTAGACCCGGCCGATGGTTGGTCGACCGCTTTCATAGACCCAGGACATTCTTGACCCTTCTCTTTCCGTCCGTGCCGGTGTAATTTCCCGTCCGGTCTTAATTTATAGTGGTTGAAACAAAAAGTGCATTTGTGTAAAACCGGAGCCATAAATAAATATAAAATTATAGGTAAAATACTAATAAAACTGCAAACATTGTTAAAACTTTAAACCAAAAAATAAAAATTAAAACAAAAATATTGCAAGGATGGTGTACATAAATGAAAAACGGAAAGCTAGTATTGTATACTATTTAATATTCCTGAGTTTAAAAAAAAAATTTTGGAAACGAAATAAAATTTGATAAAACCCACCAAACCACCATAAAATATCCAAAAAGCAAAAAGAAACAGTCCAAAACGTTAAAACCAATTTTACTAACCAAAAAATTAGTCAAAACTAAAAACTAAAATCCCTAAAACCTTTAAAAACGCGAAATGTTACCAGCAAAATATTTCAAGTCGGCCGGACCGTGTTGAGCTAGCGAGATGTATGTATGTATGTATGTATGTATGTATGTATGTATGTGTGTGTGTGTGTGTGTGTGTGTATGTATGTATGTATGTATGTATGTATGTGTGTATGTATGTTTGTGGATATTTTTGCATACAAACACGCATGTATGCAATGCGTATACAAAATCTTTCACGCACGTGTGAGGCGTGCAAATATATACAAATATTTTTTTTTACAGATTTGTATGTTTTTTTTGTATATTTTTTACATTTGTATCTTTAAGATGAACATGCATTCGCGCGCTTAACATGAATGGGAAATGATATTCTCAAGAAACATCCATCCCATTTTTTGAGCTTGTTTGTATGCGCCGTTGTCTGTGTATGTGTCTGTGTGTGTGTCTAAGTGTGTTTGTCTGTATGTGTGTGAAAAATACGTTTATATGCTTGTGTTTATTAATGTGTGTGTATATGAACAATGTTCATGCGCATGCCTGTAAATAACTCTGCAAATTTTTGTCTGCGTTTGTTTATGTATGTAAATGTATATGTGTGAATATGTGAGAGTGTGCAAATGTGTAAGTGTAATTGTATCCCTGTTTGTGTTTGTTTGTGTGTGTCTGTATGTGTGTGAATATGTATGTGTGTGTGTCTGTGTCTATATGTGCGTGTGTGTGTGAATGTTTAAACGTTTTTTCGCATTTTGAATGGAGAGAGCATCTCAAAAAGAGTTGTGGAGAATAATACAACTTCCCACGGGTAGCATAGGCAATACAAGTCGGAGACAAAGAAGGTAATGAAAGAGAGAGAGAGAGAGAGAGAGAGAGAGAGAGAGAAAAAAGAGAAAGAGTAATAATGGAATAAATGAATGAATGAGTGAATTAATGAAAAAAATGGATCTAGAAATTTGATTGATAGTTTGTAGAAAAGTTTGTTAAGGCCAAAAGAGGAAAAAAGAAAAATAAAAAATAGGTGGCGGTTGAGAAGATCTATATGAAAAAATTGAGAAGATGTAAATATGTAAATAGATAGAACGAAGGAAGAAAAGAGAGAGAGAGAGAGAGATAAAAAGAAAGAGAGAGTGAGTGAGAGAAGCAGAGTAAGGGAGAAAAAAATATTTACAATTTAAACTACATAAGAATTAAAAATGTTAAAAAATGAAAGAATGACAATAATAAAGAAAAAAAGAAAGTAATACAAAAAAGTGTGTTTGTGTGAGAGAGAGAAAGAGAGACAGAGAGAGAGAGAGAGAGAGAGGAGAGAGAGAGAGAGAGAGAGAGAGAGAGAGAGAGAGAGTGAGAGAGGGAGAAAGAGATATAGGACAATATCTTGTCACCTAATGTGTTACTGACAATTCGTTTTTATTCCAAACTCTTCATTATTAATCAACTAGCATTGCTGCTGCAACAACAAATATAATTACTACTATAACTACTTCAACTACTACTACTGCTGCTGCTACTACTACTATTACTGTTGCTGCTACTACTACTACTGCTGTTGTTGTTGCTGCTACTGCTGCTACTACTACTATTACTGTTGCTGCTACTACTACTACTGCTGTTGTTGTTGTTGCTGCTGCTGCTACTACCATTACTACTACAAGTACTATTTGGTGGAAAATAACTATTTTAAATTAATATTTTATCGTAAAATCAAATAATGACACCATTATCATTTTTTAGGCTTAATGACCGTTAATATTTTTGACGAAATTTTTGAAAATATGACGTCATTAAACGGAAATGGAGTCTGCTCTAATGCTGTCATCATCATTCGTCATCGTCACCATTGTTCGCGTCATCATTTTAATGTCATCATTATTTTAATGTCGCCACCAGTTTAATGTCATCACCATTTTGATGTCAACATTTTTTTAGTTTTCCTACTCTAACGTTTACATCATCACAATCAACATCCTCACCATCATAATCACCACAACTACATCATCATCGTCGTCACCACAACTACATCATCACCATCATCACCACAACTACATCATCATCACCACAACTACACCATCATCATCATCACCACAACATCATCATCATCATCATCACAACTTCATCACCATCATCAAAATTCTTCCGTTCATTCCAGCCAGCAACGCAATACAGAGTTGCTTATCATCATCATCACCTTCTTCATCATTAGCATCATCATCATCGTTGTCGTCATCATCGTTACCATATCACTTTTGAAAATCGTAATTAAATTATCATAAACGCCTCTTCATCATCATTATTTTAATCATCGTCAACGTTATGTTTATTATCATCATAATCATCATCATCATCATCATCACCATCATCATCAACATCATCATCATCATCGTCATAATCAAAACTTTATATTCTAGGAATCATTATCATTTTACATGACGTAATTTATTTATTATCATCGTAGGTAGGTAACCGTCATCGTCATCACAACCATCGTCATCATCATTACCGACGTCATCATCTATATCATCATCATCAGCACCTGTGACTTTTTAAGATGTTAAAATAATTTTTTCACATTTAAAGACTTCCGTTACTGAATTCATGAAGGCAGTCATTATGACGTCATCATCACCATCATCATCCATGCTCTAAACAAATTTTAAAATGGAGCATTCGAAATAAACAACAATATAGAGAGTCAGTGGAAAAAATTGATGTTTTGAGTGGAAATTTAGACAACAGGTTTAATTGTAGGGAAACTCTAGCAAACGAGTGGGTACGGGGACATAACCGGTTTCGATTGCAAAGGAAATCCCCGCCTGTTGCGTGCAATGAATGTGATAAGATGATTTGTTTCATGATCAATGATTGATATGGTGATTGGTGGTTTTCTATCTATATGGTTTTACTTGTATTTAGGTTTTTTTCATTTTAATTACTTCGGATAGCGAAAATTCTGAAACAATAGTTTGCATGAAATTTAAATTCAATTTTTTTCGTTTTCTTATCAGCTTAATTGAAAGTTTAACTAACAATTTTAGTCAAAAATTTTAATGTTAAGGTCATTACATATATATGAAATATATAATGTAATATAATATAATATAATGTTATATTCTTTATATAGGTCATTATTTTAATATTAAATTATTGATTAATTAATTTTCTAATAAATTATTAGAATTAACTTTTAACCATTATTGGCGCATCGCCACTTTGACGTGTTTTCGGTTTTTTAGCCGATTAAAAGTTAAAATTGCCGAATTATTTAATTGTCACAAAAAATGGGTAAATTTTTAGTTTAAATGTTTATTTTACGTCATTTTCTAAAGTTATTTTTTTAAATTTTTAATTTATATTTTGAAGATAAATCATTTGTTGAATTTTTTTTATTATTTGAGTATCTGCATTTGCATTTTTCATTTTATTTTATTTTAAGATTTCACATTCATGATGTAATTATTGTAATTAATATTCTTTTTTATTTTTTAATTATTAAATAATTAATTTTTTTAATCATAAATTTCAATCAGGAGGGTTGTTCAGTTATTTTTCAAGTTTGTTTGGATCAGTTGAGAGGAGAATTTTAATCCTTGGACTAGATGGCGCAGGCAAAACAACAATCTTGTACAGACTGCAGGTTGGGGAAGTGGTCTCAACAATACCCAGTAAGTTAAGTTGCTTTTGGAAGATTTTTTTTATTTATATTCAAATTCTACTTTCAAAAAAATATAGCAATCATATTTAATTACAAATTCATTTTATATGTTATTGACTAATATTTAATACATTATTTATTTCAACAGCAATAGGCTTCAATGTAGAAACAGTTCAGTACAAAAATTTGAAATTTCAAGTATGGGACCTTGGGGGCCAGACGAGCATCCGACCTTACTGGAGATGCTACTACTCGAACACCGATGCCATCATCTACGTTGTTGATAGCATGGATAGGGATAGGATAGGGATCTCTAAACAGGAATTAGTGTCCATGTTGGAGGCTAGAATCAAAAACAATCTTTTAACAAATTACTCTCTTCATTTTGTTTTACTTTATATTTATAAAGTATTTGACATAAAATCTTATTTTGAAATGTGTTTGTTCATAGACTATACATTTTATTAATCTAATCAGATATTGAATTAATATTAATTTGCCTCAAAAATAGGAAGAGGAACTTAGAAAATCTGTCCTCTGCATATTTGCCAACAAGCAAGATATCGAAGGTTCAATGACAGTAACAGAGGTTGCCAATGCCCTTGGACTGGCCGCCATAAAAAACAGAAGATACCAAATATTCAAGACATCTGCTATTAAAGGGGATGGTCTGGATGAGGCTATGGAGTGGTCAATTTGCCTTTGTCATTTGTGTGTGTGTGTGCGTGTGTGTGTGTGCGTTAATCTGAGTGCGTGTTGTGTGTGTGTGGGTGTATGTGTAGATCTTTGTGTATGTGGTGGTATTTTATAGTTTATGTGTACGTAAGTTGTATAGAATCATATTAGGAATTTCACATGTTTAGTGTAAATGGTCTTTAAATGTATTTGTACCATTCATTTTCTACCATATGTGCACACTTTTTTTTAAAACATATTTTTAAAACAGGTTAGCCACAACGTTACAGTCATCAAAGTGAAGAAAGAATTAAGTGATGATAGGATGATAATATGAGGCTGTGGATAGTAATTACGATGATGACCACCGTAATGATTATGATGATGATGTTTTAATTGGTGATAATGATGACGACGATGATGATTCAGTTGGTGATAATGATGATTTAGCTGGTGATAATGATGATGATGTGCCGATGATGTTGACAATGGTGATAATGGTGCTGCTGTTGATGATAATGAATGTGATAATGATATTGTATTTGAGGATGATGTTAATGTTGACGATGGTGGCGGTGATGGTGATGATGATGGTGATTGTGATAACCATTGAAGGGTTAGTTAGTTGTTTTTTAATTATAAATAAATTTTTCTTTATTTTTTTTATTCGTTAAACAAATTTTACGTACCATATCTTGTTCATAATGTTGTTGATTTCATAAATGTATAGTGTGATACAAGTCTCATAACCTGTGTAGTTTGTTAATTAATTAATTAGTTTATTTAATTAGTTTATTAAATAAATTACATTTTTATTTATTTATTCAATTTACTCCCAAAAAGTTATAATTATTGTACATTTTTCAGTTTTAATTATTAAATGTAATGGCCTGGTTACTCAATTGTATGTTATTCGAGGGGTCATAACAATAAAAATAATAATAATTATTGTTATTATTGTTGTTTTTATGGTTACTTTTTAGATATATGTTTTCGTTGGTAATTTAAACATGTTAATTTGGTTTCTTTATATTATGTTATGTTTGTATTGTATTGTCTTTTATTGTTTTGTATTGTATTGAATTGTGTTGTGTTTATTTTATTGTATTGCTCTTCCATTTCAATGTTTACCTTTACTTTTTCAAACTATACAGAAATCATTTGAGACGTATTTTTTGGGTTTTTGTTTTCAATTTAATTTAAAAAAATTATTCTTTCAAAAACAAAGTTGAAAAGAAAAAAAAAGAATTCGTAATTGGATGAAGGAAAAGTTTACTATAAATTATATTTTGCAGGTAGGATTAAAAGTCAGATTTAATTTATTTAATTTATTTATTTAAATGATGAAAAAAGAAAAATCATTAGTAATAATGTGTGTGTGTGTGTGCGTGCGTGTGTGTGTGTGTATGTAAGTATGCAAGCAAGTATATATAGCATAATCATGGCGTGAGTTAATAAGAATTAAAAGTGCGTTTTAAAAATTATTTGAGATTTTTTTTTCTGAGTAATGGATAGCTTAATGGTTGAGTGAATGGATGGATAGGTGATTGATTGAGCGAGTGATTGATCGATTGAATGAATAAATGAATGGTTGGTGGAATAAATGAATGAATGGATAGATGAATGCATGAATGAATGAATGAATGTCTGAAGAATCAACGTTTAATATTCTATGAATCAATCCGTGGGTGGTTATAAAGCTAGGATGGCTAATAACTATCGTTAATTAATTATTTAATAAATGTAATCAATAATTAATTGGTTAATTAACGAGTTAAATTAAAACTGCCCCATTAACCGTGGATTGAAAGACTAGATTTGATTTGAAAGTTCTTTAGAGATATCTAGCTATTACATAGGCTAATAATAATTTATTAATTCTAAATTTTTAATTTATGTAATTACATGGGCGTTATGGGTTTGAGTGTATGTTATATGCGTGTATTTTTTAATGTTGGGTATGTTTAGGTTTGTGTTGTTAAGTATGTATGTGTGTTTTTATCGTACATGTGTTTTTTAATGTAAATTAATCTGCGAGGTTTTGTTTCTACGTATTAGCTGGCTGGTCGTTACGATACTTGGAGAAGAAAAAACGAAATCAGAAGGCAAATTAAAAAAGATTTCATATAGCAAGAAGTGTACCGTTCGCTAAACGTGGCATTAATAATGAGTAAGAAGATACTAGTGTTCAAAAATTAAGGAAAAAATGAAGTGAAGACGATTGCATTCGGCAGGTGTCAAACCCTCAAATCAACTTTTGTTCTTATCATCCAGTGGTGATTCGTTGTTTATCGCCCTTCTTCTCGAATTGCTTTTACGATTTTTTTTTTGTGTTTTGTCAGATTATCTTCCCTGCTGTCGGCTTGACTCGTGCCGTTGTTGATGTTATTTTGGTTGTTGACGTTGATGTTATTATCACATCGGACGGGGCGGTCTTCGATGGAATCGATCCGCGTTGAAAGTTTTCGCTTCACGCTGCGCCTGAACTTTCGTCGATCATCAGCGGTTTTCAAGTCGTTTTCGGTCATGTCGTCCTTCAGCTTTCTGTCATCTGTCATTTCATCTATGACGTAACCGCCGAATTCGTTCGCTATCACCACAGCCTCGTGGTCGTCGTTACTTGACGCTAGTGAGGTAATGCTGATGGCGTTCTCTGCCCTATCGGTTGCGTCTGAATTGTCTCGACTGCTTGCGCCCTCTTGTGAATACGACGAAGACTCGTAAGAAGGCGAATAAAAATTATTCGGGCAGGGCTGAACGTGAACGTACATCTCTTTTTCGCGGTTATCCGTTTCACGGTTGTAGAAGTAGTTGAAGTTGGACACGATCACCGGGACTGGCAACGCGATTGTTAGGACACCTGCAATGGCACACAGCGATCCAACTAATTTGCCCCACGTGGTGATGGGGTACATGTCCCCATAACCGACCGTCGTCATCGTTACAACAGCCCACCAGAATGCATGAGGTATGCTCTGAAATTTATCGCTTTGTTTCTCAGTTTCTGCAAAGAAAACAGCGCTGGAGAAGAGTACGACGCAGATGAATAAGAAGAAAACTAAAAGTCCTAACTCTCGTAAACTGGCTTTTATGGTCTGTCCGAGGATTTGAAGCCCCTTCGAATGACGCGATAGTTTGAAAATTCTGAATACCCTGACCAGACGAATGACTCTGAGAATGGCAAGAGACATGTTTTGATCTTTTTGTTTGGCATCATCGCTGAACATGGTGCTGAGCGTTACGAAATATGGTATAATGGCCATCAAGTCGATGATGTTCATGATGTTTTTGAAAAACCGCAGGTGGTCTGGAGAAGCTGCAAATCTGACGACGATCTCAAAGGTGAACCATATTATGCAACCCGTTTCGATAATGAAGAAGGTATCGCTGAACTTTATCATGTCGTCTACTATCATGTCCGTCGAATGTTGCGGCGTTTGTTCTTCATGTGACTTTTGGCTTTGCGAGGACTGCGACGGAGTGACGAATTCGCTCAAGTTTCGAGTTTTGTCGTCAGTGTGGCCATGAGGCGATTCGCGGTATTTTTTCATGGTAGGTAACGTTTCCAGGCAGAACGTTACAATCGACAGAAGAATAATACTTACGGAAAGAATGGCAATTATTCGAGCGGCTATCGAGCTTTCTGGATATTCGAATAAAAGCCACAAGTACTTTTGAATCTCACCAGACGGCATAATCTGTTCTTCTTCTTTAACGATTCCTTCGTCTTCTTTGTATTTCTCGATGACATTATCGCCCAACTCGTAGAAACTAATTTCGTCTGAAAATACTTCGATGGGTACGTTGATTGGTCTTCTGAGTCTGCCACCGCTCTGGTAGTAGTACAGGATCGCGTCGAAACTTTGTCGGTTTCTGTCGAAAAAATATTCGTTTCTTAAGGAATCGTAATATCGAACTCGTTTGCCAGGATCTCCGAGAAGACTTTCAGGGAATGTGCTAAGTGTATTCAGGCGAGTTTCAACTCGCATGCCACTCACATTTATTATCACTCGTTCGCTTGAGCGAGAATTTGATGATGACTCATCATCATCATCTTCGTCATCACCATCAACGTTGCTGTTGTTGTTGGGTGTGTTTTCGCAGTTGTTGTTGATGTTGTCAACATTATTGTAGTTGTTACAGTTGCTGTTGCAGTTGTTGCTGCTGTTGAAGTCAATATGGGCATCGATGGTTTGATCAAACTCCTGTGTTTGTTGAAAAATTTGTTGTTGAAAGTTGTTCGGCTGTAAGAGTTGTGGTTGATAGTAGTCATTGAATGGTTGTTGTTGTTGATGATGATTGTGGTTGTGTGGTAGTTGTTGTTGCTGATGGTTGTGGTTGTGGTAGTTTTGTCGTTGTTGTTGCTGTTGATAGAGGTGAGGATTATAGTTTTGTGGTTCTTCGACGTTCAAATCCATTGATTGCAAACCTGACAACAACAAAAATTTACTTTTTAAAAATAAACAAAACTTTAGTAAAATTAAATACTGTTAAAATATTTTTCCACCCGAGTTAAAACTTCAGCAAGAAATTCCTCAAGAAAAGT